TGCCTTGGAGAGTCCAAAGCTGTAGGCACCATGAGAAATAGGAGGAGACAGAGTTTGCATTTAAGTTCTGCTCAAGTCCATTTGTGTGTGTGTGTGTGTGTGTGTGTGTGTGTGTGTGTGTGTGTGTTTCAGTTCTCATATTTGCCAGGTCCAACCAAGGGGTAAAAGCTACCAAAACAAACAAAAAAATAAAAATAAATTTACTCATAGCATTTGGAGAACAACTACCTGGTACTGATAGAAAATTTTAAAAGAAGAACATTTTTTATTTCGTATTTTGTTGATCCTGTGGCAAGCCACATTTGGGGCAGTGACATTTTTCTTTGGCTTTGGTAGCTTCTGGGACTCTATTCCTTGCACTGGATATGAACTGCAATGGTCTTTTCCACTTAGGCAATTTAAGTTGTCATCTTTTAATGAATTTATTTAAAGATGAAACCTTTTTCATCTGGGAAGAGAAAACATTTATGGTTAAATGTAATGATTCATACAGGATACTGTCAGAAAACCACCCAACAGTAAATTAGCTGATTATAATGCAGTTTCTTTACATTCAAAATTAAACTTTATAATTCTGTGATATTTATTATTGTAGGATGTAATTAAAACCATTGTACAGAGTGGTGGCATCAAGCATCTAGTTACCATGGCAACTAGTGAACATGTAATAATGCAAAATGAAGCCCTTGTTGCTTTGGCACTAATAGCAGCTTTAGAATTGGGTAAGTACCCCAGTGACAAACTTATTTTCTCCTATTTTTATCTGGATAAAAAGAAGCACAGGAATGAAATAGAAGTCAGACAGAATCTTGATTGGAAGCATTTTGCCAGTATATATCTGCACCTTTACCTGCGTATATGGAAAATCAAACTCCATATAGTTGTTACCACAGCTGTTTCTTTTGGTTGTGCTTTTGGCAACATTTTAAGGGCAGTGCGTTAAGGTTAGTTTAACTTTCAAATATTACCTTAGGTTATAGCCACTTACTTTTAAGACTACATGGAGGTACAGAAAATATTTTCAGTAGGCTTCATGGAGAAATGAAACTGTTAGAGTTCAATAACAAGTATAGCAATCTGTTATTATTCCAGTGACTCAGCCCTTTTCTTCCATCTCAGCTTGCTGTCTCTACTACTGATTGTCTCCTCTAATCTCTCTTTTCCTGTCACCATGGTTCCTGTTGCTTTGTAGCATTGCCTTCACTCTGAATTCTCATCTTTTGTGTTATTCTTTTGTGTATTTTGCATTCAGAACTCCCCAGAAGCAGAGCCTAATTGATTCAGTTAGTTTCTGTCTAACAGAGCATTCCTGTTGGGCAAAATTCTTCATGAGACGTTAGCTCTTAAGCGTCTAGCCTCTGGATGGCAACCCTTGACTCAGAAACCAGTCTCTGAAACAGATGGTTAAGACCTAAGGTCACTTTACACAAAGGGGGACTGTAGACTTGGTGTAGGCGGTGTCCTGTTTGGTTTGAAGCTGTTTCACTAAATACTGTAACTGCTCACCTCTTAATTCCCACTGATGATTTATGTCCATAATTCTCAAACTGGGACAAGCAGACTCATCCTAGGAAGGTAAACATGGTACATCTTCCTCCAGTGTCAGATTTACTCAGATCTGAGGTATGAAAGATGGGAATTTCTGTCTTCTTAAAGAGTTTTACATTTTAAAGTAATTTATAATTTTTAAAAAATCATAGAAATACTGTAAGTAGGATATAAAATTTGCTTGGATATTAAAGATAAAATAGAAGACTTCAAGAACATTTATACTTGCTCACAGTGACTTTGATGTTGTAGTTAGAGATGCTTTGGTGGCACTGGTCTGTATGACTCCTTGGGAGATCGGTTCTAGTCCTAGCCTAGTCTATGGTTTCCATCTCCCACGTGATTTGGGTACATTGTGCAAGTTAATCTAGAAGTCCAGACACCTTTAAGGGGAAGTCTGTGAAAGGGTTCGAATCAGTGAGGACATTTAATACCAATCTGGAAACATGGTCTGATTTTAAATGGCTTAAAGTGATGGATCTATTTCAGAATATTCTTGACTTCCCATCCTGGGATGAATCTGGTTTTGTGCCCTTCATTACTGGTATCTTCCAAACAAGCTGTAATTTCATCATCTTGCAAATAGCTGAGCATTTTGCCTAGGTCACTTTACCATAAAACTATATAAAATGGCAGTGCATCTTTATATCCTTTTTAATATACATCATATTTTGAAAACTGTATTTCTCCAACTTTGTATCCTTACTGGCTGTTTGATTAAGGAGCTGTTATAATTGTTTTCTAGGATAATAGTATAAAATTATCCTACGAATTATAAAAATACATATTATAAAAATACAGTAGTATATTTTTAAGAGTCGTTATCTTTTATGTGTATGTGATAATTATAGAGTAACATGCAATTGTAAAAAATAAGAGAACTCCCTTGTACCCTTTGCTCAGTTTCTCCCAGTGGAACATCTTACAAAGCTATAGTATAATACCACATCCATGATATTGATATGGTCCATCCATCAATCTTACTCAGATTACTCCCAGTTTTACTTGTATTCATTTGTGTGTGTGATAAGTTACATATAGTGTCGTCACCTGTGTTGGTTCATGTGTCTCCCACCACAATCCAGATACTGAAAAGTTCCAACTCCACAAGGATCCCTTGTGCTGCTCTTTTATAACCACACCCACCTCCCTCCCACCCTCATTCTCCACTCTGTCCCTAACCCCTGGCAACTACTGATCTGTTCATCATTACTGAAATTTTGTTTTTTCAAAAATATTATATAAATGGAATCATATAGTATGTAACCTTTTGGGATTGACTTTTTTTGCTCAGCATGATAACCTGGAGAATCATCCAAGTTGTTTTGTGTATTAATAGTTCATTCCTTTTTATGGCTGAGTAGTCTTTTAAGGTTTGTACCACCAGTTGTTTAACTAGTCACTTGTTGAAGGATAGTTGGACTGATTCCAGTTTTGGGCTCCTAAAAATAAAGCTGCTATGAACATTCATGTACAGGTTTTTGCATGAACATAAATTTTCATTTCTCTGGGATAAATGCCCAGAAGTACACTTACTGGTATGTATCACAGTTGAATTTTTTTCTTTTTTTTTTTAAAAAGAAACTGTCTGTTTTCCAGAGTGGCTATACATTTTACATTCCCACCAGAGTGCATGAGTGATCTTTCTCCACATCCTCACCAGCATATGGTGTTGTCACTATTTTTTATTTTAGCCATTTTGAGAGCTGTGTAGTGATAGCTCATTGTGGTTTTAATTTGCATTTCCCTAATGGCTAATGATGTTTAACATCTTTTTATGTGCTTATTTGGTGTCTATATATATTCTTTGGTGAAATGTCTATCATGTCTTTTACCCATTTTCTAATTGGATTTTTTTTTTTTTTACTATTGAGCTTTGAGAGTTTTTTTATATATATTCTAGATACTAGTCATTTGTTGGATATGCAGTTTACAAATATTTTCTCCCAGTCTGTAGATTGTCTTTTCATCCTTTTCACGTGGGCTTTTGTTGTTATTGTTGTTTGCTGTCAAGTTGATTCCGATACACAGTGACCCTATAGGACAGAGTAGAACTACGCCATAGGGTTTCCTAGGCTGTAATCTTTACAGGAGCAGATCACTCAGTCTTTTCTCCAGTGGAGCCACTGGGTGGATTCAGACTGCTATCCTTTTGGTTAGCAGCTGAGTGCTTAACTATGGTGCCGCCAGGGCTTCTTACATGGGCATTTACAGAGCAATTTTTTATTTAAATTTTGATGAGGTCCAGTTTATTATTATTTCCTTTTATGGATTGTGGTTTTGGTGTCAACTCTAAGAATTCTATGCTTAGTCCTAAGTCATAAAGAGATGTTTATGGCCCTCTGCTTTCCTAAAGATTACAGCCTTGGAAACCCGATCGGGCCATTCTCTTCTCTCCTGTAGGGTTGCTATGAATCAGAATTGACTCGACAGCAATGGATTTAGGTCCCAAAGATTTTTGTTTTTTGTTTTTTTTAATTTTACTGTGCTTTAGGTGAAAGTTTATAGCTCAGATTAGTTTCTTATTCAAAAATTTATGCACAGATTGTTTTGTGACATTGGTTGCAATCCCTGCAATGTGTCAGCACTCTCCTGCTTTCCACCCCAGGTTCTCCGTGTGTGTTTGTCCAGTTTTCCTGTCTCTTGCTGCCTTCTTGTCTTTGCTTTTGGGCAGGTGTTGTCCATTTGGTCTCGTATACTTGACTGAACTAAGAAGCATGTTCCTCATGTGTGTTACCATTTGTTTTATAGGCCTGTCTAATCTTTGAAAAGTAGGCTTCGTGAGTGGTTTCATTTCTGAGTTAGGAGAGTGTCCATAGTCTCAGGGATTCCTCCAAGTCTCTGCAGACCTGTAAGTCTGGTCTTCTTTCGTGAATTTGAATTTTGTTCTACATTTTTTCTCCTGCTCTGTCCAGGACCCTCTCTTGTGATCCCTGTCAGAGAGGTCAGTGGTATCTATTTTTTGTTTTTTCTTCAAAAAGGTTTATCATTTTATGTTTCGCATTTAAGCCTGTGATCCATTTTGAGTTAATTTTTGTATAAGGTACGAGGTTTAGGTCAGGATTCTTATTTTTGCCTATGGATGTCTAATTGCTCCATCACCGTTTGTTGAAAAGACGTATCTTTTCTCCACAGAATCAATTTTGCACCTGTGTCAAAAATCATTTGAGCATATTTGTGTGGGTCTTTTTCTGGGTCTTCTGTTCCATTGATCTATGTGTGTATCCCTCTGCCAATACACACTGCCTTGATTAATGTAACTATATAGTAAGCCTTAATATGTTGTGAGGTGCCATAAAGTTGGTCCCCGATTCATGGTGACCCCATGCACAATTGAAACAAAATGCTTTTCGGTCCTCCACTGTCCCCATGATCAGTTGTGGATCGGACTGTGGTGATCCATGCAGTTTTCATTGGCTGGTTTTCAGAAATAAATTGCCAGGCCTTACTTCCTAGTCTGTCTTAGTCTGGAAGCTCCACTGATACCTATTCAGCATCATAGTAATGTGCAAGCCTCCACTGACAGATGGGTGGCAGCTGCACGTGAGGTGTATTGGCTGGGAACTGAACGCGGGTCTCCCACATGGAAGACGAGAATTCTACCACTGAACCACCATTGCTCGCACAAGCTTTACTATAGGGTAGAGTAATTCCTTCCACTTTCTTCTTCTTTGTCAAGATTGTTTTAGTTATTTTAGGGCCTGTGCCTTTCCATATAAGTTTTAGAACAAGCTTGTCTGTGTCTACAGAAAACTGCTGGAATTTTGATAGGAATTGTATTAAGAGTCCTTATATTTTAAAGATACATACTTATGTTTATGGATGAAATGACCTGATTTATAGGATTTTCTCCTAAATTATTTGGGATGGATGAGAATGAGTGGATGAGAGTAGAGATGGATTAAAGAACATTGGCCATAATAATTCTTGAAGATGGTGATAGGTACATAGGGTATCACTTATACCATCTTTTCTGTTTTTGTGTATGTTTAATGCTTTCCATAATAAATTTTAATTGCCTCATATTAAAAGCACTGTTGTAATGTTGAATATTAAGCCCAAACTCCTGAAATGTCTGCTGATATCTAGTTCTACTGTTTTCACAAGGTCTGAATTTAATAGTATATATCTAAGTCATTGTTGTTTTCAGTCCCTTTTGGAAAGTTTTCACATGGTCACTTTTTAGAAAAGGAGCAGTGTTTAGCTAGATTGTACCAGGTTCACACACGTTGATTATAACTTATACTTCATTTGTTTCTTATTCCAGGCACTGCTGAGAAAGATCTAGAAAGTGCTAAACTTGTACAGATTTTACACAGACTGCTAGCAGATGAGAGAAGTGCTCCTGAAATCAAATATAATTCCATGGTCCTGATCTGTGCTGTCATGGGATCTGGTAAGTATTTTCCATCAACATACGGTTGACATTAAACATAGAATAATATAGTGAACCCTGGGAGAGCTGGAACTCGACGGTACTGCCTTGTTTTTCTGGGTCTCATAAGTTTTCCGCCTTTGACAGGGTGCAGTCTTACCACTTTTCTGTCATAGTAAATGGTGGCTTTGGGTTTTGAGTGCATTAGAAGTTAGTTAATGGAAAATAGAGAATTACTTTTACACTGAAAATATTCACAGAAGATTCTTACTATGATTATAAAGAACAAGTTCTGGTTTTGTATGTATGATATTAACTAAAGAATTTGTTCTAGAAATCATTGGCATATCTCGGTATATGTTTCATGGACACTTGAATGTGTATTCTGCTGTTGTTGGGTGTAGTGTTCTGTAAATTTCGATTGGATCCTGTTGGTTGGTGGTGGTGTTCTTCTGTATCCTTTCTGGGTTATCTGATTAGTTGTTATCAACTGTTGAGAGAGGGGTGTTGAAGTCTCCAACTATAATTGTGGATTTATCTATTTCTCCTTTCAGTTCGAGCAGTTTTTGATTCACATATTTTGCAGCTCTGTTTTTAGGTGCATATACATTTAGGATTGCTGTGCCGCCTTGGTGGATCAACCCTTTTATCATTATGTAATGTCCCTCTCTGTCCTGCTAATTTTCTTTGCTCTGAAATCGACTATATCTGATATTAATATAGCCACTCCTGCTTTATTGTGGTAAATGTTTGTGTGATAGATCTTTTCTATTCTTTCACTTTTAACCTACAATATCATTATATTTGAAGAGTGAGTCTTTTGTAAACAGCATATAGTTGGGTCATGTTTTTTAATCCTCTCTGTCAGTCTCTCTTAATTGGCGTATTTATACCATTTATGTTTAATGTCATGCTTGATGTGTTATGGCTTAAATCTGCAATTTCATTTTTTGTTTTCTGTACTTTGTTTTTTTTCTGTTTTCTTTTTCTTGATTTCCTATGAGTTGCTTGGACATTTTTTAGAGTTCTATTTTGATATATCCATTTGTTCCATTTCCATTTATTTATAGTGTTCTAGAGTGCTCCTTTTATAGTTTTTCTAGTGGTTGCTTTAGGTATTACATTATACATGCATACTATCACAGTCTATTGGTGTCGTCATTTTACCAGTTCAAGTGAACTATAGAAACCTTACTCTTTTTCACTCCCCTTTCCTTGCCTCATTTGTAATATGTCTTAATTTTTTCCTCTGCATACATTTAGAATCACATCAGATATTGTTCTAATTTTTGTTACAACCACCAAATATAATTCAGAAAAGTCAAAAGGAAAATCTATTGTATTTACCCACATTTTTGCTTACTGTGTTCTTTCTTCCTGATGTTCAAGCTTCCTTTTTTTTTTTTAATCAATTCCTTTCCATTTAGAGAACTTCCTTAAGCCATTTTTTTAGGGTAGGTCTGCTAGCAACAAATTTCTCTTTTCCTTCATGTAGGACTGTTATGATTTCCCTTTTATTCCTGAGAAAAGTATTTTTCCTTGGTGTAGCATTCTGAGCTGACAGTTCTTTTCTCTCAGCACTTGAAAAATGTTGTGCCATTTCTTTGTGGCCTCTACAGTTTCTTATGAGAAATTAATGTGTCATTTTTCTCACTGCTTTCAAGATTGTTTTTGTCTTTAGCTTTAAGAAGTTTGACTGTGATATCTGTTGGTATGGGTTTTTTTTTTGGTGTGGTTTTTCTTTTTTGTTTTTGTTTTTTTCATTCAGCTTAGATCTTTGTGTTTCTTGATATGACAGATGATTTTTCTACTAAAACCTGGGTGTTTTGGATATTACATTATGAGACTCTGGATCTCATTTAAACCTGTTTTAGCTGACTTTCTCTGACATCTAGGCAAAGGAAAAGTAGGCTGGGAGTGCTACGTCATTACTACCAAGAGGGAGTAGAAGTTAGGTTCCCCACTCCACCTCTGTGGATACCTGAGGTGGGGGGTTTCTTGTTATTGCTGGGTGGGGGTGGGGATTCTGGCTCCCCACTAGGCCTCCACTGATACCTTCCTGGCTGGGAAGGGTAGAAGTACCTCATTACTGCTCCCTCATATGCCTCTACTGACACCATAGTGATGGGGGGAAGCCTCATTACTACAGACTGGGCATGGAAATACAGTCCCCCCATATGATCTTTACTGACACTGTGAGTGTAAGGGCCTCCTTACTCCCTGGCTGATGAAGGTCCTCGCTCCCTTCTCCGCCTTCTCTGACGCTCACACACTGGGAGGGATTGGAGTACCTTATAACAGCCTGGCAAGGGTGGAAGTCTAGTCTCCCCACTTGGCCTTCCTGGCGTGGTTGTGGGTGGAGTCACTGCTGGAATAGTATGGTTATTGTCTGAAAGTTTTCTCTGTTTTAGAAAACTGGTGCTTTGGCTAGAGAAAAAAGGCTTATGTTGGAGCTTTATTCTTTGCACCCTTATGTTGGAGCTTTATTCTTCACACCCTTTGGCATTTCCATGCTGCCAGCTTTTTCAGTCCAAATTTTGGATATATGAGGCAAAAAGAAAGCCCAGAGTATTCACCACCATGTCATTCCTCAGGTCCCAACGTCGCTAGCCAGTTTGCCTTCTTTTCTCCACCTTTCAGAGTCTTCTTATATTTGTTGTTTATGTAGTGTTAAATACATACAAGGGTTTTTAGTTGTACTTAGCAGGAAGAATAGGGAAAATATGTCTACCCCATCTTCCGAATTATTGGCATATCGTTAGTTCATACAATTCATGTATCATCATTACCCAGATCTTCCTTGTAAGGATATCTGGTCCTCTCAGCCAAGGCCAGACAGACACTCAAGAATGCTGAAGGGGCTTGTGCAGGGAGACACTGATGGATTCAGTATTCACAGTCACAGCCAACCTCAGCTAGACCCCCAGTCTCTCTCCTTCAGTAGTCTACCTTCACCTTCTGGATGGTGAATGCTGTGAAGGAACAGCATGGATATCATCACAGTTTCCTGGCAAGTAGTGAATGCTGCTCTTAAGATAACCACATTCGTTAGAGCGCCTTTGGTAAAGAAAATGTTTCCAAGCCCAAATTTAAGAATTATGGTTACTGTGCAGCCAACTCAGACAACAACCAACCTAGATTAGAATGGCCCAGAAAAAGTTTTTTAAAAAAGGGAGCGAAGGAGAGAGAGTGAGAAGAAAGGAAGAGAGGGAGGAAGTGAAGGCAGGAAAGAAAGGTTAGATTACTTGATAGTTTGACCATACCAAGAGTTTTATATTTCTATCATGTGATTTGGGGGAAGTTAATAGATATGTAGAAAATAAAGCAGACCAATAAAAAAATAATTACTTCAGAAAAATTAATACTTCTGGAAAGAAAATATAATAATAGTATACTATGTGGTTCAGCTGAGAACACAGTTCATAGTCTTAATGTATACACTAAATAGTTAATTAAAATTATGATACAATTGAAAAAATAGGAAAAGAGGTTGGGGATGGTGTACAAATAAATTTTCATCTTCCATAGACATTAGTAGATAATAACTGAAATTGAAAAACAAGTAATAGCATATTATTATTATTAGAGTAGATTGGGACAGAGATCCGCTATTGTTCTCTATAAATCTTAATAGTTTTCAACTACATTCATGTATTATTTTGATTAAATAAAAATTAAATTGAAAAACATATGCTTTAACCAGTGACATTCCCCTTATAATTGGTATGGGGCTGACCCCTAAACCGTGCTAAAGGATTTGTCACCAAGCTAAGGTGATGTTGTGAGGGGTGGGAGATGGGGTAAGCTAGGGCACTCACACATAAACAATGGCCTAAAGTATACCCTGTTGCTTCAGGAGCTTTCAGTATTAGTGTAGCTGCTGTCTTAGAAGACATGAAAGTCCAATTTTGATATTCAAGTTTCCTTTCAGGAAACAGTAACTGATAAAATTCTCTCTTATAATTAGACCCAGCCTGTACCTTTGGGCAACCAGCAAAAATACATAAGCCCAAGCTGTATTTGCTGCTAACTGAATATACTTTTGGTTAAAAATTAGTTCATATGTTAAAAAAGGAAAGAATGAGGATAATGCAAAGTATAAATGTCCAAGTTAAATAATCAGGAAATGCAGAGCACATGGTCAAGGTAGGCACTCTTGCCGCTTAGGTGATGTTGCTATAAAAGGAATGAAAGAATAGTTACATCATAGACTTTAGAAAAAGACATTAAATCCCTTAAGAATTGGTCCTAGTTTTATAACTCAGTCTTATAAAAATAAACACGTCAGTTTGGGGATTATAGATTGAATTGAATTTACTGGACCTGAATCCTCCCCTGTAGCAGTTCTCAGAGTCTCAACAGGAGTTCTTTACTTTCCTTTAATTGAGGTTAAATGGAGCAGGAAACAGGAGGAGAGGAAACCTAAAAGGGACCCAGTGTCACAAATTTGTTGAAAGGATGTGAAGTGTAAACTTTTCATTTGCCACAAAATTAATTTGAATAGATCTTAGATTTTTCTATAAGTGATTGGACTTCATATTTGAACTGGTTATAGGCTTAAAACTGAACCTTGAGATCACACAACAAGCTGTGTTTAAGTATAACTCATTACCCTAATCAACCTTAGACTGCAGAACTTGACATCTGATTTATCTTTATATAAATATGGCAAGTAAAGGTTCTTTTATTTTTATTATTATTATTATTATACACCCCTAAAAAAGACATTGTTAGGCTGCTGCTGCGTCTTTTTCCAGAATCGCCCCTGATTTTATAACTCGGTCTCACAAAATAAACATTTGGGTCTGTGTTTTAGATAGATTGTACAGTAAAATTAGAATCAACGGGAGCATATCTGTCTTATTTTTGTCTTCCAGAATCTCTACACAAGGAAGTACAGGATTTGGCCTTTCTAGATGTTATATCCAAACTTCGCAGTCATGAGAACAAAAGTGTTGCCCAGCAGGCCTCTCTCACAGAGCAGAGACTTACTGTGGAAAGCTGAGACCTGCCCCTCCCTGATACATGGCATCATCCCATCTCTGATTTCCCCTTTGTTCTCCATCCAGCTGCCTCTTCCGCTTCATTCTCTACTGTAGCACTTTGTGCATGCGTGAAATGTTCCAATACCAATTGAAGAACTGCTGTAGGTACCTGCCCAATAAGATTTCTAAACCCATAGTTAATGTGAACATGACAAGTCTCCATCCATAACTGTTCTCTTCCTGTTGCTTGAGCTACATTAAGTAGAATGTGCATGTTGTAGTCCTACAATGATATAAACTTGGTACTACATAATTACTTGCTTCTCACACTAGGTAAACTGCATAATTATGTACTGATAAATTAGAAACAAAACAGAGTGCAGCAGGATCTGTCTAGCTTATTAAAGATGGAATTGAATAGTAAAAATAGCTCCATTTTTGGTGCTTGGGAAGCACAATGACCAAAAAACTGTATGGCTGCTCATTCATGAATCTTACCTACTAATGTCAAACCCATGGTACCTAGAGTTAAATAAAATTCTAATGCTCTCACTATTTACCCTATGGTTTCTCCTTTTTCCTAACTATGCAGGATATTGAAACTGCCACAAACTTGTCAAGACTTTCTGAGGCTTTTGATTCCATATTTAATTGGCTGTCATCAGTAGCTTGATGTTGAAAACATTTGTAGTTTTCAGTGTGGAACTAAGGGGTTGAAGAACCCCTGTAAGATAAGTGCACCTTGTTTTTTTAGATTCTGATACATGTGCATTTTCACCTCGGAACTTCTTCTGTCAGTTAATTAGCATTGTCCCACACTTGTCTTTAAAAGTCACTTGGCACTTGTTTTCAACTGAGGAAATTGAGTATAGTTCATTGGAGAATGGATTTATTGCTGTTTTTCATCATTCAGCTTGAAAGCAAGAAATTTTATCTTTCATAGTCCTTTTAAATCTTACATTAATACTAGCAGAACATAGGAGAGATTAATAAATAAATAAATAAAATAAATTAAAAAATAAATTTGTGTAGACTAAAGAAAGGAAGGCAGGTTATAAAAGCCATAGTAGCCAGTCCAGTTCATTCTGCAGATGACCCCTTACCAAACAGGTGTTAGAGTTCACACCTCCACTTTCCCACTGAGAACTGCAGAAGGTCTGAAAGGCTATGAGAGAGTGACAGCCAAGACTCAAGAGATGAAGAATACCCCCTTGATGAAATATAGTGTGTTCTTCACTGCCACTACTACCACCAGATGAGTTTTTAGAGCTTTGAAATGCAATCTTTGTAAATTAATCAGAACATCCCTCTGATACCCTTGCCTTCTCCCCTTGCCCAAATCTGCCAAGTACTGGCTTAAAGGCAAGATGGCCTCCAGTATGGAAGGACTGCAGAACAGAGAATTGGCTGCCAAGGAGGTAACAGAAGCTCCTTCTTCTCCAGTATGAGGTGCTGCACATCTCTGTGGGGTGATCTAAGTTGGACTTTTGTCTCTAAGACAGCTATAATTCAAGAAAGTTAAACTCCAGTGGAGGTAAAGAACCTTTTGACTGACTGTTCACCTTGATGTCCAAAAAGGGACTATTATGAGTGCTTACGCTACACTTACTGTAAGAATGCTCTTGTTTATCATCTTCTCCTGGGCTGGATAGTGGACTATATTTTATTAG